CATCAGCTTGCATTCTGCAGGAATTCACACAACACATACCAAAACAACCGCAAGAGACCTTTGAATCTGAAGAAGCAGAGGCTGTACACCAAGACTCTCTCTGATTTCTGTACTGTGAAGCAGTTAGAGATGCGTAAGACCAACGATACGTCTCAGAAAGCCCATTTCAACCGCTTCTACCAATTTCATCCATACACCTAACAACATTTAGTGTTGGTACGCGCCTTAGTAGGACACAATCATGACCGGAAGCGAGAAAAATGAACCCATGAGTAAACGTACCAAAATTTATTCAAACAAAGCTATTAAAAAATACCAAGGTGGATAAAGCTTAACGCACAGAGGAAGTGATCTTAACGCACCACCAACAGTGAAAATAACTGTTAAAGATGCTGCCAGTAAAAAGCAAATCCGAGAGGATGTGCCTTTTTAAAGATAACAATAGAACAAAATACAGATTCCGACGCTACTTATCATATGGAGAAACTATGTGGATGAAGCCGAAATCCAAAAGTGCATTCGGCTAAGCTTAATGACGATCCACACCAAGGAAAAACTCGTTTCAAACACATAAAATCAAAATACCAAACGGTTATCAACTAACAGAAATGACCTTTAAAACATTAATGCATTATACGCACCGTAAAGGTGTATGATTCATAGATACGGACGTGTCAGATGCGATTAAGTAGAATTTGTGCTAAGAAAGGCTATCAGAACGCAGCCCTTACGAAAGTTTGGCTATGTCTCCTAAAACTTAGAACCTGTTGGCGCAACAGCTGCAAAAGTAGATTATTTATCCAACGCTGAAACGTGAAATGTTATGAGGAACCAGCCTGGCACAACAGATTAAACTGTCGACGAAGACGACCACTTCCAGCACTTTGGTTGCATCGACTTCAGCGTTTTGCAGTCAACTAATACCAAGCAGAATATTGATAATGCCTAAGGTGAAACTGCCCAAACTTGACTGAAAAATTAACAACACTATCAAAAAACAAATATCCACCTTGATTCGGTCAACAAGCCATGTCATGTGAAAATTAGTCCGCAACTTTAGCGAAGGACGACGGTGGGACACCATTATCCTCCATAGTTAATGAGCGATAACTATAGATCCATGGAAAAGCTGACCGTTTCGCTCCTGTGATAGTTACAACTAGGAGATGCAAAAATGAAGCCTGGACCCCTCCGATAAACTGTTTACGTACAAATCTTTCACGTCAGCCTGCGAGATTTGTGCTATCACTGAAACACTTAAGCAGGCCGAGACGCAAAGACGGACATTACTCACGCTATAGTTAATAGCGAAGATTTACGGCGAGTCCCGTTTCCACACATAATAGAATGAACGAATTTTTGAACTACCATTACTAAGTGCATTATTCTGCGCAGCAAAATTCTGTTTAAAAGCAGGATAAATGCGTCCGTAGAAAAACACAAAAACTAAAGTTTATAGCCATGAAAGATATTAGGCACTCCCGCTTCTGATAGGCACCATCTGAACCATCCTTCCACGAAGCTGAATGTCCGGGACTGATGTTTGTTTCTAAGCCATCAAGGATTTTTATTTTGAAGACAATGCTTACATATATATGGGAAGTGTAAAGTGTGTGTAAAATACAGTTTCTTTCTCCCAAAGTGGCACTCATTTGTCTACCTCAGATGGAAGAAAGGTGAGTATCCCAGCCGGAAATTGAAATTAAAATCTTTCGACCGCAACTATGAAGTGTAAAGCAAATCGCAACAAGAAACAAGCAGACACCAAACAATACACGCAGCGAATGCCATGATGTGACACAAAACGTGCACCGCATCGTTGGCACAACTTCAAGCAAGGTACAAAGCGCACTGAACGCCCGAGGAAACGAACAGATCATGTGGCGTCGTTTCAGAACAGCGATAAAAGTTTACTTGGCCTGAAAGCATCAAACAGACTGTTGAGCATTATTGACAAACAATTTGAAAATTGAACATCTAGCTGTGAGGATGAAAAATGAAAAACAGAACACGGCACAAACCGGTAGTTACAATCAAATAACAGACTGAAACTTAAACAACAACAACAACTGAATGAACAGACAAAGAAGAGAGCGCAGAACTGCACGATAAAGTAGCAGAACAGTAAAGCGGTGTAAAACGCAGACGAACATAACTGCACGAGAAGAGATCTTTTGAAACCGCAATTACTGAAAACAAACGCTACCCGAACGAAACAGCGGAACGCAATCACGCGTTCTGTACAAACACGGGCAAAGGCCGGTGCTCTACGGCCAACTCTTCTTCATTAAAGTGCGGAAGATCATGCAGTATTCGTCGATCAACGTTTCGTAACGGTACGACACTCGTACGTTCGGAAGGTTCGTGCGAGACATGTCATTACCGCATACACCTTCCTCCACGTAATTTGGTCCTAGCCAATGAACTTTCATCTAAACAAAAAATTCATGCTAACGTCGCACGGGCACTCGGCAAACGATCGACTAAAGGTGCGTATGAAAAAAAAACAAAACAAAAAGGGCAAAGAATAAACGAAAGCTGCCTAAACCGTTACTACTGCCGGCAGTTACAATATTCACAAAAGTAAAAATCCGAAAAACTTTGCTTATCTCATTGTGAAGAAGGTCTGCAGGACGTAGTTGGATTTCTGTGAAGTAGTTGATGAAAGGATAAAGTTGTCATTAATGCAGGTGTGCTACGATTAGTACAGTGACAATACGGTGAATATACTATTGCTGTAATTTCTAGTAATTAAACTATAGTACTACTAATGATAACAGAACCAGCAACTGTTACAAACAATTACTAATCGAAATAAACTGTCACAAATTCAATTTTGCATTTTACAATTGCTAACTGCGACTATAGGTGGTCGGCGCTGACTTGAGCGTTGAGGTCACCGACGACGATCGAAAACTGATGTGGCGGAAAAACAAACACTGTTTATGCCAGGCAGCGAGCTTCTGGTGTTGGAGCCGAAGTGACAGACGTCGGTCGGGAGTTCAGCATTCAGCCTGAAGATCATAGGCAAAGGCACCTATGGTTTCAGAGAGGAAGATTTCCCTCTACGATGAATCAACTGGACGGTGCTTTACAGCAAATTATAGAAGACTGTAAAAACAGCGGAAATCACAAAACAGAGACATTCTGCTGGTGCAGACGGCTCAAAGTGCTGATGACACACGTGTACATACACATGTACACAGACGTACACATGAACACACAGACTCATCCCACGTTCATAAACATACACGGACGCACAGTTAGAAAAGAAAACACTAAGACGAAGAAATGGTTATTTAAAGCAAAACCTCTCGAGCATGATAAACTGCAGACGGGCTCTAACGCGTATAACGTTGATATATTGAACATCGAAAAAAAATAACAAACAAACCATAACGAAATTAATATAAAAATCGCAAAAAATTAAGTACAGCTGGGAAGAAAAAAGACAGTTCCAGTGAAAACCCGTACAACGCAGACAAAAAGCTGTAAACCTGCTACATACAGAAGATGGAAATCCGCTTTGAAGCACGCTGTTGCGAGCCAGTTCGCACATATCGCTCGAACTCAGCTTCCACACCTGTGCCGCAATGCTGTACTCTTCGATCAGTGGCTCCTAGAAAGTCAGAAAACGTGATTTTAGAGTTACTGCTCGCGCTCAGTCTTTCCATATTCACCAAGCATTCTCTACAAGAGTCATCAGACTGAAGTCGAGAAACGGAATCATTCACTACCTAATCGAATCCGAAAATTAATTTTCGCCTAACAAGCGATTCACAGCGTTTGTTTGCGATGAAATAGAAAACTGAACGACTAGAAAAATAACCAACATAACCAAGGCCACCTTCAGACAGTTCTATTAACCTCTTATAGAAACAGCAAGTGCCCGGTCCGGCTGGCAGACAACAAAGATTTGTAATTAAATACTAACTGATGCCATCACGACGTAACAGCGACCATATTACTTCAGAGCGTTTGGACTGGTCCACGAAGAAAGACTTGTTTAGAACTATTTTCCTAGGCAATAAGACAAAACATTTACGATAGAAAAACATAAAGCAAGACACGTTTAAGAAAGGCGAACAAAATCGTTCACAAATACTGCGAGTTAACAGAATGTTAGCCTTTCGATAAATGCATGCCCAAAAGGTGCTGCGTTGCATAGCAGAGTGCTGCTGTGGGATGAACGGACGCTTTATCGGAGTTGCATAAACCCATCCTGGAGGCATATCTTAAAACACAACAGATTATGTAATTGCCAGATAATTATGAAGCTTAATTTCGACCATCTCAACTCTTCAAGAGAAATTTCATCCCCTGTTCTGTATGGAATTAATACCACTGAGCTTCGAAAAGGGCGCATAGCAGAGAATTTGTGCAAACACTTCCACGACGACTACCGGAGAACACATAGATAGGATGCTGATAGATAAAGCGAACTTATTTCAATATTTATTGCTGATGGGTAGTCATCGACAGCGAAATCTTCATTTTTTTCCTCCATCGCCGCTTCTCCCTTCGAGTGGCGGAGGAAAACGCGTCAAACAGAGTTTCCAACGTTCCTGATTCTGTGCCAGAGTCTGACCTTTAGCAAAAGACAACTCGAGTCTGAAACAGACTCATTCCATATATTTGCACCAGGTTAATTTTCGATGTCTCCCTCGACCTTCCGCCAGTCAAGGCAAGAAATGTTATGTTAGGCATGTTAGGCAAGAACGAGATGTTAGGCAAGAAAGAGTTGCTTCGTCTTCCTTTCTGGAAGAATTCGCAACACATGCCCAAACCATCGCAGCTTTGACTACTCAGTCTGGAGAAGCAAAGGGTGTACAACAAGGCTCTCCCGGATATCTGCATTCTGGATCAAGTCGAGACGCGTAAGGT